AAAAGAGAGAGAGAGATGTAGTCTCCTATTTTCTTCAGGAAGGAATCGCTCAAAAGATTGTTCTTATGATAAGTTGTTGATTTGAAGTGATGGCTTAGACATTCAAGAAATATGAAGGAACCTCCCAAATGGAGAGATCAAAGCACAGAACCCAAGCTTGCTCAAAATAAAAGGCTTTTAAATATCTCCTTAAATTTGGAGGTCATGAGACAAACAAGATCTAACACTATGAATGCACTTCCGGGGCAATCTCCTGACTTTACTATCCAGTAGACTAATCACCCCCCAAACATGGTTTATCTCTTCTTTTCACCCAGAACTATGTTAATTTTGCCACTTTAGATTCTTTATGGAAACTCAGCTGGGTGAATATAATTCTGCCTGAAATCCTCTTAGCTTTCTACTCTGTTCTGTTCTGTTCTGTTCTGTTCTATATTTTATTCTATATTCTATATTTTACTCTACTCTACTCTACACTATTATTCTATTCTATTCTATTCTATTCTATTCTATTCTATTCTATTCTATTCTATTCTATATTTCTATTCTATTCTATTCTATTCTATATTTCAATTCTATTCTATTCTATTCTATATTTCTATTCTATTCTATTCTATTCTATTCTATATTTCAATTCTATTCTATATTTCTATTCTATTCTATTCTATTGCAATTCTATTCTATTCTATTCTATTCTACTCTATTCTATTCTATATTTCTATTCTATTCTATTCTATTCTATTTCAATTCAATTCTATTCTATTCTATTTTCATTCTATATTCTATTCTATTCTATTCTATTCTATTCTTATTCTATATTTCTATTCTATTCTATTCTATTCTTATTCTATTCTATTCTATTCTATATTTCTATTCTATTCTATTCTATTCTATTCTATTCTTATTCTTATTCTATTCTATTCTATTCTATTCTATTCTATTCTATTCTATTCTATTCTATTCTATTCCAAATATATATTAAAACAATACTGAGCAGTATTGCAACAGCCTGATGGTATTTGCTTTGTTTTAAGCTCCATGCTGAATATCACAGAACATATATATTATCTGAATAGTATGTTTAAACAAAGGAGCGTAATGAATACTTCTTTCCTAGAGAACAAAATTCCCCATTAGGCTCTGAATAACATCTTTCAACAGAGTTTAGTGGCTCCAGTTTTTCAAATCTGTTACATTTTTATCTGGAAACTTTTTTGACGTTAAGAATTGCTGAACTGTAGTCTTTCATTACGCTTTCTGCCAAAGTCTACGCCGAGCCGTCCAAGCGAAAAGCTGTACATTCTGCTAATTATTACCACATGCTTCCCATCCAAAGCAGCGGAAAACCTATCGGTTCTGACAGCCCATTCTCTCAACGCTGAATTCCGAAGGAAAACTCAACTTTTCCAGCCAAATATAACATGTCATCCATCTTGTTCTCCTGACTGCAAAGCCAATATCAAACACATAGGGGCTGCTAATGGCTTTTCGCGGTGCCGTTCCCAAACTCCGAGCCTCCGATGAGGGATGGAGACGCTTTTCCAAGGCATTTAGAAATTACGAACCAGGAAACAAATGCACAAAACCGAAGAGTCTGAGCCCCGATGACAACATTCAACTCTGGTCAACAAACTGCAAAGGCCAAACCCAAAGAGATGAAGAGAGACAAACAAAGAAGGCATTTTGCAAAGTAAACAAACAAAAGGAAAGAAAAAAAAGAAGCTCCAGAGATAAAAAAAAAAAATACATTTTTGCCAAGGCCCAAAGCCAGCAGGGAAGCTTATAAACTAGCCGTCAAATGAAACAGGATGTGGGAATCTGAAGTTTAGGTCTACCCGGTCAGTGAGACAACATCCTCTCACAAGCTGGCTTCTTGAAAATGCCATTTATTCATCTCTGCAGAATGTGAGTCTCTTTCACTCTCTATTTGCACAGTTACCCTGTAGTAAGAAGGGCAGCCAATAAATCTGATCGGCAAATAAATAAAAATAAAACAGTACTTTATTCAATGTTCACCCAACTTAGACTGAAATGGTATCCAATTTCGGGTGAGTAAATCTCACTCAGTTCAATCAGGATACCCTAAACCAGGGGTAGGCAACCTTGGCTCTTTTATGACTCGTGGACTTCAACATGCTGGCTCAGGAATTCTGGGAGTTGAAGTCCACGAGTCATAAAAGAGCCAAGGTTGCCTACCCCTGCCCTAAACCACTTGCCTCCAGAAGTTGTGAATGCTCCAACACTGGAAGTTTTTAAGACAAGATTGGACAACCATTTGTTTGAAATGGTGTAGGGTTTCCTGCCTGGGCAGGGGGTTGGACTAGAAGACCTCCAAGGTCCCTTCCAACTCTGTCATTCTATTCTAAAAGAATGCAACTTGTCTTAAAAACCTTGCAGGCCCAATGCTAATCTTGAAGAAAAGATGAAATACGCAAATGCTATTGCCTAACTCTTCCTCTCTTACGGAGGAAGACAAGTTGAAACTGCACTTAAAAAAAAACCCCATAATCTAGCAAAATAAAATAAAAAAGTTGTGATTAAGCCCTGGTCGAAAGCAAATAGATTAAGCCATAACTAGCATAACTCTTCTTTGATTCTGTTGACCGGGAACTGCAGGTTTTTTCAGATTCTGCTCATCGTTTTGCATTGCAGGAAACAGGCATCAAAACTCTGAGTAAACCCCCTATGGAGTAAATTCTGTAGTAACAGAAATATCCATTTCTTTAGCAACTCTTCATGTCCTTGCCTGAGGTCAGAAACATTAGCTTGTTGGGACAAAATCCACGAAGAGCTGTATCCAACTTTATTTTTCAACATGGATTATGCTCACCCAGTTGAATGGGTTGACAGTGTTTAGTTATTTGTTAAAGTTACAAATGAAACATTAACCTTTTTTGGTGGAAGGATGGATTTATGCACATTCTGAAGCAATATGTTTCCATTTGTTCCATTTGTTTTAAATGTGTGTTGTGTATGTGTACACTTTGAGAGGAAGCAACTAAATTTCATTTTAATGTGTGCCATTGTGCCCACAGGAAAAAAATGACAATAAAGGTTATCTAATCTAATCTAATCTAATCTAATTTAATTTAATCTAATGAGGCTTATGTAGAGCTCAATTACAGAGGTCCTCATACTGAGGACATTAAGGTACTGATAAAAGTCACCAAATGTTTAGTATTAGATGGAACTCTCATAGCTACGTACCTAATTGGATAACCACTTTGGAAATATTCCCAAGGGTGTTTTCTTTGAAATATTTGAAACATTTCAACTCTCACCCAAGAAGCTTCTTCAGTTCTAACTGGATGAGAAATCCAGTTGCCTTTTGGGAAAAAAAACCCCAGCTTTGGGACAACCATCACCTGGATGATTGAGCATCTCCAAAGACATGTCCACGGAGATTCTCCGTCATCCAGGTCATAGTTATTCCAAAGGTGCTTTTTTTTTCAAGAGGCAACTGGACTTTCTTGGGGTTTTTTTGAAGACATTTCACTTCTCATCCAAGAAGCTTCTTCAGCTCTGACCCACTCCCCACCATCCCGGTAAGATGAGAAGTGAAACCTCTTCAAAGAAAAACAAGAAAGTCCAATTGCCTCCTGAAAAAGAATCTTTGGGATCTCCATAGACACTTTGGACATATTTAACCTATATGATTACGGCAATCCTTTTTGAAGCCCTTAAGTTTATTACGGCTGTGTGCTCTGAACAACTAGGAGTTTTGAAGAATCAATAGTTCTGCAGGAGCATAACAAGAGGGACATCTATCCTGTTGATAAGGAATCTGATGAATTTGATGATTGGTTAAAATTCCGCACGCAAATCACTCTTTCAAGCCTTATCTGTCTAAATTCCCTGGATTCTTCCTTAATCTAGAAGAGGCTAATCCAGGGGCCTTCAAATGTGGCCCTTTTATGGCTTGTGGACTTCAATTCCCAGAATTCCTCAGCCTCAGTTGAAGTCCACAAGTCATAAAAGGGCCAAGTTTGAAGACCTCTGGTTAAAAGGTACATATGTTGAGATGGCAGAATTAAAGTTTAGGCCTCAGTGGACCCTATAGAAAGTTCCACAAGAAACCAATGGCTGTGGGTTAAGCATGTGACCAAAACCACAGAAGGTGTACTTGAGTATTTGTATAACTTCTATATCTTATCTGTTGTGTGCCAGCTTCCTCTTATGTAACTATATACATATCTGCCTTACACTGTATTCGGGGTTCTTCCAATTTAAGGGAGAACCCGTCTTTGTTCAGCTGAATAAATGTGTTTGGCTTCTCAAGACACATTACATTTTTACTGAGTCACACCTGAACTCCTGAGTAACAATCCTCCCAAGACGAGCACACAGCAGATACTATAGATATTATTGGCGACTCAGAAAAACAATCGCAGATGTTTCCATAAAATGAGGTGTCACTCCTTAACACGATCATCTGAGTAGAGCACCAATTATAATTGCAACAGCAATTATTTTCAGGTTGTGCAAACTGCGTGCTGCCATTATACACCACTTAAGTCTAAAACGAGGCGGCTTGTATTCACACATTCACACATTCTGGTGTGAGATAAACTCCTTGGGGATGGGCTCCAGCACGAATCCAAAAGCTTTGAAGACCAAACCCAGATCGGATCCTGCAGCTTGGGAACGGTATGAGATTTGATGACCACCAAACACACTTATCCCTGAAAAAGAATTGGGCGGAGGGTGTCTACGTTGGGGTCAAGTTCCACTTGGTCTCACAGTTTGGCTCTCTCATTTTTTTTTTTTCAGTTCTTTCAACTTACTTTCTGCCTCGGGTTGAATTAAAAGTCCCGCCGTATTTCTTCCGATTAAGGATGAGAGCTGCAATTTCCGGCACGTAGCGCGCAAACATTGCCTACATGCATGAAAGAAAAGCAAAAAAAAAGAAAAGAAAAAAAAAAAGAAAAAAGAAAAAGAAAAAATGGCATGCAGAGAGTGTTCTGCCACACCAAAAGCAGCAGAGTCCTTTGAATACTTACTTTCTTCCACTAACCGCGCTATAGGACCCACCATATTTCTTGCGGTTTCCTATTAACTCTATGATTTCAGGGACGTAACTGGCAAACATGGCCTAAAGGAAGAAGACAGGAGACAGAGAAAAGACTAAAAAGAGAGGTCAAAGGAAGGGGAGGGGGCCGATGGATTTTTATAAGAAGATACATCATCCTTACGATCTGGAAATGCAAGGCACAGGTCTAGTCAAGTCTTTCCTCCAAAATCAAAAACAAGAAGAAAAGTTTGCCAAAAAAAAAAAAAGTGTTTGTCTCAAAACAAGTGTTGGTCTTGGTAAAAAAAGGGAGAAACACTGGCTCAGCTACAGAACAACGGTCCAAAGAAGGAGACAGGAATGAAAAATAATAATAATAATAATGCAAAAAAAAAAACCAAAAAAAAAAAACCAAGAACAAAATAGAGTCAAAGTGAATTCAAGGGATTAAAACAGGGCCGCGGCTGGTATATTTGGAAAGGGGTGAGTGGAATTTTCCAAATATTTACTCTCCAAAACACCCCACAAAGCCATGTTTCTGGTGCTTGCATTACAGTTAGTATTTTAGGCAAGACACCTCCTGTCAATGATTTACCAAACAAAACGCAGAATGGTTTTTCTGCACCGTGAGAATGAACGTGATGTAATTTTTTTTTAAGTTCATCTTTTTAAAAGACGGGTAAAGAAAATGTAAGGATGTAAAAGGGAAACAAAGGCAATGAGGAGGGAAAAAAATGTATTCTGCCATGTTTTGTCCAACAAACATTTTGCTCGTGGCTGGATGCCTCGGAGAGCTGCTGCCACTAAGGTGAGCCTCAAGATCTACCTTTTCAGCAAGGGAAGAAAAATGCACAAAAAGGTTTGATGCATAATCACTAAAATGAGAGGTGTGCCTGTCTGTATATACACACCTTCATTACTTTTAGATCTGCAATACAGGAGTGTCCAATCTTGGCGACGTTATGACTTGTGAACTTCAATTCTGGGGTCTAGGCCAACTCACCATGGCCAATTCACCATAGCCAGCTCATCATGGTCAACTCATCATGGCCAACTCACCGTGGACAACTCACCGTGGACAACTCGTCATGGCCAAGTCACTATGGACAACTCACCATGGCCAACTCATCATGGTCAACTCATCATGGTCAACTCACCATGGCCAAGTCACTATGGACAACTCACCATGGCCAACTCATCATGGTCAACTCATCATGGCCAACTCACCATGGCCAAGTCACTATGGACAACTCACCATGGCCAATTCACCCTGGCCAACTCATCATGGTCAACTCACCATGGCCAAGTCACTATGGACAACTCACCATGGTCAACTCATCATGGCCAACTCACCGTGGCCAACTCACCGTGGCCAACTTGTCATGGCCAACTCATCATGGCCAACTTGTCATGGCCAACTAGCTGCGCGACCACTCATTGCTGGACAAGAGTCACACTAATATCAAAGAAATGGTGGAATAGAATAATTAAAGAAAGGATGGAAAAGGAGGGACAGATTGAAACGTGATCACTAAAAATTGAAATATTTTTTTTATTTATTATAAATTATTAAATTGAATTGTTAAATTGTTCCGCAGTGAGTTGTCCCGTGGCAAGTCAGCGGTGGCGAGTTGTCCCATTCCCTCAATTCTGGGACTTGAAGTCTACAAGTCATAAAGCTGTCCAAGGTTGGAGATTCCTGCAGCAATATATATAGGTTTACACATACACGCACAGGCACATCTCTACACGCACATCTTGGGTTGAAGAAGTCACTTCCCTTATAATTCAACCTGAACGTTGGCTGATGATTTTTTTCTAGGACCAAAACGCAACGGCTGCCAGAAATTTATTCCATTGGGGGGGAAAAATGGCAGTTTGTTCAGGGACAATATCTATATAACGGGGACAACTTTCCTTCAGCATCCTCAGCACCACCTCCGGAGCATCTGCAAGCTAAGAGGGCAGTTGCATCCAGGCAATCCAAACTCGTCTCCTTGGAGAAGGGCACCCTACAGATTTTAATTATCCAGAATATAGCTGGACTTTCTTTTCCTCTCTCCAACATCTCTCTGTCTGACGGGGAGCGTTTCTTTGCCGAATCTCTGTTGGGAAATTTGTACTACTTTAGCCTCTTCTTGGGTTGCTGCTAAGAAGGATGTGAACTCGCTTTTCCCGCTAGCTGGGAAAGAAAAAAGAAAGAAAGAAATCGCGGCAACAGCTCTTTCGGGAGGATCCTAAGCCACAGTGTTTGTTGGAATGTTGGGAAGGAACACAAAAGGGAAGGTCTTGAAACCGCAACTAATTTTATCCGGACTGTTATCAGCACTCCAATATTAACCACTAGGGCAAAAGTCTGTGCACACTTTCAAAATAATTTCACTGGACTAGTTCGGCCTCCAAGCCCAGTCTCTCCCTGCTTTTCATTAAAGCTTTTTTCCTTTTGGCTTTCAACCCAGCTTCAGAAAAGTTACACTGCTTTAAGGAACGTCCTCATTAACATTAACACACACAGCCCCGAGCCTTTGAAAGCAGTGGCACTTTTGCTGGGAAACCTGCAAAAGAAGAAGCGGTCGGTTTCGTGGTTACATTTCCTTCTGCGCTCAAATTACACACTGGTAGTCCTCGCCTTATGACCACAACCGAGCCCCAAGCCTCTGTGGCGAAGGAGACAGATGTTATGTGAGTTTCGCCCCATTTTACAATCTCTCTTGCCACAGCTGTGAAGTGGACGTAAGGGATAATAAGATCAGAAATTGTTTAATGCGCTTACCCAGAAAATTAATCCTGAGCTTAAGCATAGTTGTAAAATGGAAGTTACTTGAGCTTTTAGAAGGGCAAGTTGGTTGCTTAGATCTCAGACACGTAGCTTGTTCTTAGGAAGTCAGTCATCACCGCAAGCAGAGGAAATACAAAAATAAAGAAAAGAGCTTATGCTAGAAAAAGTAGGTCATGGTCAACACAATAGGTATAGCTGCAAGGTTCTTTTTCCTGGGAGGGGAAAAAGAAATGTATTCTGTTTAGGCGCTTCGGATTAGCTGATCGGGATGAGCAGGTGGGCTGTTGAGTGTGATAGGGGTGGGGGGTGGGGGAACCAGCTTCGTGAGAAAGTATAAATATGTGCTGTTTAAAATTGTGGGTGTGGCTTTTTCCTCCTGCGTGAATCAAGTCCACCAGCTTTTGCAAAAGCTTTATCCAAATAAAACTTGGTTCTTGGAATTCCAACTGAGTTTGTTTGTCTTTCGGAACCTTGAGCTACGTCCCAGACACGGAATCACCGCAGTTGTGAAGATAATAACATGGTTGTGAAGTGAGTCCGCCTTCTCCAGTTTAACTTTGTATGTCAAAAGGGGAATCACGTGATTTCGGCATAGTTCAATCGTCGTCAAGGTGAGTCCATTGCCAAGCACCTGAATTTTGTCGCAAGCGTGAAGAGTCATTACAATTCAACTTTTTTCAGCACTGTTGTATCTTCAAATGGTCATTAAACAAGCTGTTGTGAGCATAATGGCTTCCCTCCCCCTTGTGAAACAGGCTCACAGTTTGCTTGTCAGAAGGTCACAAAAGGGGATCGATCCTGTAACACACACACACACACACACCGGGTCATTGCAACCATCGTAAATATGAGTCAGGTGCCAAATGTCTGAATTTTGATCACAGGACCCTGGGGATGACACAACGGTTGTAAGCGTGAAAAACGATCATACGTCACTTTGTCCAGTGCCGTTGAAACTCTGAACGGTCATTAAATGAACTGTTGCTAAGTTGAGGATTGTCTGTATTGTATGTGGAACTGCTAAGTTTATAACTAAGGCATTGATCTGATGAACCCAACACATTGTGGTACCGTGCAAGGGAGATTCACTCACTGCCTGATTAGCAGCTCTTTGTATTAACCCATTTGTAGTTTATCCTTTTAATTCCTTCAATCCATCTTCTTCCAAAATCCGTCGACTTGCAGTCCTCAGCGTAAAACCATTCATTGCGTGACGTTACAACCACACTGAAAAAAGGTGACTTATGATCGTTTTTCGCACACAGGACTACGGCAGCATCCCCCTGGTCATGCGGTCAAAGTTCGGACAATCGGCATGTATTTATGATGGTTGTGTGATCATCATTTGCAAATGTCTGAGGATTCAGGTCACTGGGGAAGGCGGATTGAGTTAACAACCGTGTTACTAACTGAACGGATGCAGTGATTCACTTAACAACAGGAGAGGTTGTAAAGTGGGACAAAACTCACTTAAAAATGTCCTGCTTAGCAACGGGCTCAATGGTGGTTGCAAGTAAAGGACTACCTTTAGGCCCTGAATTGTTTTGTTTTTTTAATTGATGAGGTTGCAAGAGTAATCAACAAACCAACTGCTACTCAATGGGGTGGTCTCATGAACAGCAGGCAGAAGCTTTGATCTTTTGTGAAGACCAAAGTGGTGTTTCCAAAGGATTTTCAAAGTGTGCCCAGACCTCCTTGCTTAATGCTCTGGATTCTTAAAATTCTAACTATCCTTACTATCTCTGCAAGCATTACATCTGTAAGTATGTACATTATCCCTGTATTTTAGTTCAATTACTAGCTCTTCAAAATGCAATACAACGGGAAATGTATTTTGAAGTCATAAGTTACAGTATAATTGTTACATTAAACATATGTATATATAGGCAGAATATAACATAAATGTTTTACCAATCCCCCGAGGATGAAGAAAACCATAAAAAGGCGGCCCAGGGTTGTTTTTGCATAAACATCTCCGTAGCCAACGGTGGACATAGTAACCATGAGCAAATAAACACATTCCCAATATGTAAGTGGTTGGTTATTTTGGAAGTTTTCCCATGGATCCCCTGAGTTCTCCACCTATAACAAAAGGACAACAGCGAATTAAATACATCATTGCCTACAACCCAATACATCCATTCATGAACTTATCAGTACATAACTAATAACTTCAAGGGGGGGAAAACGCAACGCAGATACGATCTCGTTGAACAGTTGAAGCCAATTTCTCTTTTTTTAGCAAGGCAATTTCAGCAATACAGCTCTAATGAAGTGGAGGGATCTTAACTTTAACAACTCAATCGGCTGCGATAAAACGAGTGCTTTTCTTTATATCAAATCAGTTACGTTATACAGGGATTGGCGTGTTCCTGTTGAGGGGGGGGAGTTAAAATAGTAACCACTGTTAAAGCTAAGAGAAGAACATGATCACAATCTGGAATTTCTAGAAAGATAGTCTAGTAACTTATAAACGATGACTGCATTAGAAATATGTAACTATGTTTAAATATATCTGACATTTAGGACTACCTGTAATGGTGGATTCTAACGTGGGTTTTCAAGAAAGTCAAGATGGAATCTATAGCCACTAAACTGGGCTTTAACCACATGGTTACAGTAGGGCTAGAGGTGACATGATAGTAGTCTTCCAAAATCTGAGGGGCTGCCACAAAGAAGAAGGGATCAAGCTATTCTCCAAAGCACCTGAAGGCAGGACAAGAAGCAGCAGATGGAAACTAATCAAGGAGAGAAGCAACCTGGAACTAAGGAGAAACTTCCTAAAAGTGAGGACAATTAACCAGTGGAACGACTTGCCTCTAGAAGTTGTGGGTTCTCCATCACTGGAGGTTTTTAAGAAGAGACTGGACAACGATTTGTCTGTAATGGTCTAGGGTATCCTGCTTGAGCAGAGAGTTGGACTAGAAGACCTCTAAAGTCCCTCCCAACCCTATCATTCAATGTTCTATGTTTTTTGGGTGGTCCACCTACTGTAATCCTATCCACAAAACTTTGTGCCCAAACTACTCTTTGGGTTAGTCTCTAAGAGTCACAAAATTCCTCCCTGTTATAGCAGCAAGTAGCTACCACAATACTTGTCACTCAAGACCATATTCCAACCCACTAAAGAAAAGACAATGTGAATTGGTCCACCCCCTCAAATCAGGAATCTGGTAGGATCTATTTCCAAAGAGTAGTTCATAAACATATTGGGCATTTAATCCTTAAAGGAGAGGATGTGTTAAGTTACTTTAATTCAGGCCACAGTCTACACTAATCCTCAGGAGAAAATGAGTGTTGTGTACATCCATAGATTGTAAACCTTGTATATAAAATTATTCACATTTTACAATCTGCCACCATAGTTTAATTTTTGTTTCTAAGCCCACACTGCCACTTAGTGGCTTGTTGTTGTTATTGTCAAATTCAGTAAAAGTTCTCCAGAACTTCAAAATTAGACTCCAAAATTCCTAACTTCCTCTTCCAGTTCCAGCCAAAGTAGTTGTGGGCTTTGAATACCAGGCAAAATCAGGGTTTTTTTCCCCATGCTGTTTGCTCATTTTCTCCTCTTGGAAGAATTTCTCCGTGAGAGACATGATTTAATAATAATATTTAAAAAAAACCAGGAGTCCTGCATTAAAAATCTGAAAATGGCATACCGTATGACTGGGGGAAATATGCTCCAGTACAGAATTTCTCAACCTCAGCAACTTTAAGCTACGAGGACTTCAACTCCCAGAATTCCTCAGCCCCATGCTGGGAACTCTGGGAGTTGAAGTCCTCGTAGCATAAAGTTGCTGAAGTTGAGAAAAACACCAATCTATTACTTTTTTTTTCTGAACAGTAACACATAGGGATTTGTTAAACCATTAATCTCTTTGCAAAGAGTGTTCCCACCAAACATCAAGAAGAAATACATAGTGCGTTTTTTTGGTTTTTGTTTTAAAAAAGATGTATAGCTGGATTATCTGATAATAAATCTAAACCTCCCCAAATAAGCAGGGTTTTTTTTTAGGCATACTTACCAAATGTATAAATCCAGCTGCTGTCAGCCACGTGCTAATAAATATCGAGCACAAGTTCACTAACTTGATGGAATTACTGGTGGAAAAAACAAAAGGAGAAAAACAAACAAATTCTTTTCAGAGTTTGCTTTAAAAAAAAAAAAACCCAGAAAGATTCTCTAGCTTTTTTCAAATCTTTCTTCCTGAAAAAAATAAATAAATCCATAAACCTTTCCTTTCAAGTGACAGGTCAGTTTCTCAGCATAAGAAAAAAAAAATCATATCGGTTTATTGAATGTGCCTTTCAATCAACAAAGGATATCCGTAAAATGAGACAGCCTCTAAGTGAATTGTTGGAAGCCCAGTAACTATATATGCAAACGAACAGTTTTGATTATCGTTATTTAATCATTACGGTACCTGATTTATGAAAAAAAAACATGCTATCGCAAAATGGAGATTTTTTTTTTTAAATAGTTTTGTTCAATTGTTTTTAGGTGAGCCAGGATTATTCAGAATAGCTTTCCGGACTTTAAAGGAGAAAATTGATGTTTTGTCTTTTCAGCCCCAATTCTAAAAATAGGTGGATTAATCTCCATTTTTTTTTCTTCCCTTTAAGCTGTCGGAGACATCTGTGCTGTCCCTAATTCTGCTTGAGCTCAGCCTAAACCCCTGAAGTTTTAGTGAATCCTCATTTAATTCAGGAAAGGATAGAACATAGTAAGGGGATAAATAAATGTAAGAAATCAGAATGAGGGGAGGAAAAAAAACACCTATTTTTAGAAACGATATGTATGTATGTATGCATGTATGTATGTATGTATGTATGTATCTATCTATCTATCTATCTATCTATCTATCTATCTATCTATCTATCTATCTATCTATCATCCATACATCATCCATCTATCTATCTATCTATCTATCTATCTATCTATCTATCTATCTATCTATCTATCTATCTATCTATCTATCTATCTATCTATCTATCGTCTATCTATATCTATCTCTATTTTATCTATGTATATTGTGCCTTACCTTGTTTTAAGAATATTCAGGAACTGTAAGATTTCTGAGAACTGAATCAGCCTAAGAGCGCGCAAAAATCTTAAACCTGTAATTCAAACAGAAAAAAAAAAGAAAGGAGTCAAAGAAACACTGTACATTATTAAAGATATTGCTTTATTAAGAAATGTTTATAGTGTCGTAGAGTTTCTCACGGGGTAAAGTTATATTAGGTATAACACACCTGCATAAAAAGGAAGAAAAGTTTAAAGAATAATTAGAAAAATAATAATTAGTTTCGTATCACAACTGGAAATGAAGTCAACCGCTGAAAATACAGTGTGCCTTGATACAAACCTGGGAAAAGTCAGTTTTTCGCTTTCGTGCCTGCAAAACCAGTCTCATATCTGTGAAATATTCATGTCGGAGACCGGTGACTTAATGTTGCTTGCCATGGGCCACTTCAGGAAAAAAAGCCTTTGAAAAGAGGTCTAGGATAATTCGCCACAGCAAAATCAGCATGGCCAATTCCCATTGGAAAAATCTCTGTGATCAATTCCCCATGGGACAGTTCAACACAAGATTAGATCTTTTTATTATATTGTAAGGCAGGGCTCTTCAAACTCAGCCCTTTTACAACTTGTGGACTTCAACTCCCAGAATTCCTCAGCCAGGCACGCATGTAAAACATAATAAAATTAAAGTCATGGTGCAAAGAGTTGACTGGTTGCCCAGAAAGCGATGCAAAATAGAATTGTTAAGTGAACAAGGCTGCAGTTAATAAAGAAATTAGAAGAAAAATGGGTGGAAACTTAACCAAAGGTGGCATTTCTACTGTACACTTTTCCCAAAAGGTTCCCACAATTTTGGCCACTACTGTATGGTCCAGCTGAAATTTGTGCGTCTCTTGATGACAATGCGGTCGGAAAAGAAGGTCATTTTATTACACAAAGAGCAATAGACCGTTTACTCTTTTAACATAAATAAATAAACAAACAAATAAAAATACACAGCACGGGTTGGGTTTTTGGAAAGTTCCCGAAAGATTTTCCAAAGCGGAATTTGCACAATCATTTTATCAAACTCCCAGGTTTTTATGGAAGAAGTAGCTACTTACTTGTATCCCTCTTATTTATGTTTTTTTTTTTTTACTTTGCAACTGATACACTATGTATTGAGGAAATAATGGCAGTGCAATCCCCTTCGCTATCTAAATGAGTTTGTCTTATGAAGAAGAAGCAGTTTGCTGTATTCAGGATATAATAGTGATATAAAACAATGATATCAGGAATCTGGCATACACTGAGCAGGATTCTAAACTCTTGAAACAGAACACAATTGCTGTTATTCTGTGGAATAACCCAGAATGATAACCCATCTTGACCAAGGGGTAGTTTATTTTCATTATAATCAGTACAGATTAAACAAATACTTGTGCTAATTTTTATTCCGGAACAAATTGTTTCATTTAAAGTGTTTTGGTGTTTAATTAACACCTCATCTAGAGTTCATTTCATCCAAAATCCACCTCATCTAGAGTTCATTTCATCCAAAATCCACCTCATCTAGAGTTCATTTCATCCAAAATCCAGAACAATCACAGGTTTCCTTTCTGCCAAACTAATGCAGAAGTTCTGGAATGAGAACAAATTGGTTTTCCAACACTGTGCTCATTTTTTGAAATTAAGGGTGTGGAGAATCCCATAGAAATCACATGCAGAAAGGAGAAGACCCAAGATATATATAAACTGAAGATGAAATTAAAGCAAAGAAGCGTGCTGGAGGAGAAATCACTCACTCGCTCAGATTTGAGGCTAAGGGCTCAAACATTGGCAAGGAAGATCTACTGGAAGATCTCAGTCATACCTTAAAAATTTATGCCGGCTTTCGAGAATGTAGAGACATCCCTAAAATGTTTAACCGAGCAATCCACTTTAACAAGGTTATTTTTAATTAAAAATAAGTAAGAACAGTTTTACCTTTCTGTGTAGATTAAAAGTAACAGGTATTAAATGCAAAAAAAAAAGGAGAGGGGAGTCATGGAATATCCATGTTGGAATATCCAAGTTGTTCCACTGAACAATTAACCAGTGGAACCACCTGCCTCTAGAAGTTGCGAATGTTCCAACACTGGAAGTTTTTAAAAAGAGACTGGACAGCCACTTGCCTGAAATGGTGTAAGGTTTCCTGCCTGAGCACGGGGTTGGACTAGACGATCTCCAAGGTCCCTTCCAACATTATCATCATCATCATCATCATCATCATCATCATCATCATCATCATCATCATCATCATCATCATCATCATCATTCATTAGACGTGAACCTCAGTCAAGTGAACATTCAAATTGACCGGCACTGATGGTTGACACGGGTTGCTATCAGCTTCCTAGGTATCAACTAGGTACCTCCTTAAAATGTAAGATTTTCCGAATAGCGCAGTTTTTTATTATTATTATTATTATTATTATTATTATTATTATTATTATTATTATTATTATTATTATTATTATTATTATTATTACTATTACTATTACTATTATTATTATTATTATCGAGGTGGGGGTAAGAAGAAGAGATATTTCAAGAAAGAAAGATGATCGCCGTTTGAAGAGAGGGATTATTTACATTTTTAAATGATTCCCCACCAAAGAATAATTCTTCTTTTAAGGAAGGATAAGAGAAAAGCATAGCTGTGAGAAATAACATTTAAATAAAATACCACCGGGCTAATCTTGCTAAAATATCTCAGTCAGGCCTTTTTTTCTCTCTCCCTTTCCGTTATTAAAATATTTTTTCTTTGGCTTCACAAATTAGGAGGAGGGGGGCAAGGGGGAACCCTCTGCTCCCAATTGATATGAAAACCCTTCATCTTGCAAATAACTGTTATTGCTTTAGAAAACAGTCACTCGGTCAGCTTCTTACCCCAGTGATAGCCAATTCTGGAATAAGACCTCAGAGTCTGTCGAAATGTATTCGGCTCTTCCTTTCCAAGGTTATTATGCCCAGATTTGACACGATATCCATTTTTAAATAAATCTCCGTAGGATTTCTTTCGGCGAGGTTTAAAAGTTTCTGTGCGGGCACCCCCGGAAGGGATGTTGTAGACCAACATCTTGCTGGGAATCATCACAACAACACCACTTGGAAGGATCAGCAAAAAAAAAACCTGTTATTTCCTTCCGAGATTTAGAGAAAGGCTACTGAAGATCAATTGTTCATCCCAAAATTTTGGGCAGGATCAAGGGAATGAGATCTGCTGCCTCTGGCTTTATATCAAAAAAATATATATTTTAGGACAGTTGGAGGAAAATGCATTTCTACTCCTTCAGTCTCTCTGCTCCCTAAAATCTGAAAAAGACTGCCAAAGCAGGTCTGAGTTGTTGATGGAAAAACGGATCTTGTTTTGATATCTACAATATCACGGCTTAAAAGGCATTCCCTGTCCGGATATTGCAATATAATCTTCTTTCATACCCTCTCCAAAATGTATCCATCCAACTGGAGAAATCAAAACAGATTATCACTCTGGAGAAGGGAGATGAACAAGCCCACGATAAACAGTGTCCGGATGTCCCAGATAGGGCTTATGGGTTGTGCAGAGGTCACACTTTGTGTTTTAATTCACACAAATCGAGGCCAACTTTCACTGTTCCTTATTTAAAGGGAACTATAATATCCCGAATGTTTTAAGCCACGGTAGGCACGGAAGCAAGATTTCAATAGGTTGGAACAATCCACCTTCATAACACCCCACAACCTCAGCCCCACAACCTTTACTGGATTGTTTTCCAGAGCATGGCATTTTATAATATAGCAGAATTGGTGGGTCTCCGCAAACGAGCACTTTTCGCATTTTATCCTATAACTTAAGACACGCACAGAAAGAGTAGCTTTCTCGTGTATCGCTAATAGATCGTGTGGCAATATAAAGCCTCTATTTAACTAAACACCTAATATGGTATGAAATGGTTCAGAAAACAGTTTGTACCCATATTCAGTGACAACGATGGCACGATGTTCCGAAATGTCTAGACGCACCGCACAAAATAAAACGAGTGGAACTCAAATCATGTTCCCAGCAGTGATGAATCCTGCACACCATCGCCCTCCCATGGCTTATAAAAGCAGAATAAGAGAAGAGAAAAAGAACAGGAAGATAATGCAAAGTGGGACACATTTTGTTAATAATATTTTTTCAAGAAATGTGCAACATGTTCTGGATCGGAGCGCTGCGTCTCCGGTGTTCAAGAGCTTGGAACAAAACACAAAGACAACATCTTCTAGAATCAACAACCTGAGATGAATTAGGAGACGTTGCTTCCCATTTGCAAATAGTGCTATTTCTTTTCATTAAAACTAAAATGCATGGATTGTAATTTCCTAGCTGCTATTATCATCATCATCATCATCATCATCATCATCATCATCATCATCATTCACGTGAAGTTCCTAAATCATTCTAACCTTTTCATCTGCTCAGGGCTTCATCTGAGATAGAGAACTTCAAGCAGAATTATATTTTATTTATTGACTTATCAAATTTGGAGACCACCCATTTCATGCACAGAGCGATTCTGGATGGTATCCAATTAAAACACAGGAACCCTATAAATAGCGTACAGGTAGTCCTTGACTTATGGCCCCTTGTGTTGCAAAGTGAGACATTTCTTAAGAGAGACTTGCCCCCATTTTAAGACTTTTCTTGTCAAAGTTGTTAAGGGAACCATTGCCATTGTTAAATTAGTAACCCAGTCGTTAAGCGAATACGGCTTCTTGATTCTGATTGTCAGAAGGTCGCAAAAAGGGACCTGCAACCGTCATAAATACGAGTCAGTTGCCGAACACCTACCAACCACAGGGATGGCTGCAATGGTCGTAAGCGTGAAAATCACTTCTTTCCTGCCATTGTAACTTTGAACGGTCACTAAATGAACTGTTGTAAGTTGGGAACTACCTATATTCCAGCAGGAGGCAGTGAAAATAAGAATAGAATAATTTAAAAGGTGGGAGGAGGCAGTTAAGGTGCCAACTAACCCCCAAATTGTGGGCCTTAATACTGTCAGCAGAGCCGAGTTTTCAGATTCTTCCAAAAGACCAGAAGAATGGG